ATGAAGAATCTTCTCAACTATTCTTTCTCTATTTCCTGTGCTAACTCCTTGTCTCATGTCTAAATTTTGGATTTTCTCAGGACTTGTTCTTAGGCCCTTATCACTGCTTTCTCCATTTCTTTCTCAGATGATCTCATTCTTCTCAATGGCTTTACCTTCCAAGTATTTGCTGACAATTTCTACCTCCTCTTGAACTTTCTTCTCAGCTCTAGATTGGTTTTACCAACTGCCAGACAGACACTTCCACTTGGATGTCTTTAAAGGTTTCCCAAATTAAACATGACCAAAACACAGCACTTTTGACCTATTGTGTTCCCTGCCTTGATTTGTTCATACTCATATCATCCTCAGCTCAGTAAATGCTCCCACTATGTATTTACTCAATTGCTTAAGCCAGAAACCTGGGAGTCATACTTGACATTTCACACTGCCCTTACATCCCTCCCTTTCACTGCTCCTCTCTAACCATTATCAGGTCTTGGTTCTGACTGCAGTGGATATAAACTCCATCCACTTCTCTTGAGTGGAGACATTGTCTGTGTTCTAGCTCAGTCACCATCGTTTGTCACCGAGCTACTGCAGTCCTGCAGATTTCCCAACTCTTCCTCTGCCAGGCTCCTCTCCATCTCTTTTCCCGTGTGCTCCCATTTCCTATATGGTCCCACTGTTTCTACCCTTTCTGTGTCTCCTTTCATTGTTTCCCCTGGTTCTTTTCCCCACATCTCTATCCACTCCCCTTTCTGTTTCCTTCCCCCTTTCTCTTTTAAACCCATCACTATTTCACTGTTGTGTTCCTCTCTCCCCCTCAAAGAGCTCTTTTGAAACTCAGAATTACATTGTCTCTCCCTTGGTTAAAGTTCTCCCATGGCTTCTCACTGCACCTAGAATAAAACCTAATTTCTTCAGCAGGCCTAGTGTGATGGGGCTGCTGCCTAACTTTTCAGTCCCCTCCTAAGCCCCACATTGTCCATGCTGCAGCCATACCTGCTTCTTTCAGTTCTAGGAATGTGCCACATTCCTCAGAGTCTTCGCAGAAATTATTCTCTGTACTTAGAACTCTTCTTCTCATTCCCTAATTCCTACCATTCTTCAAATTCATGTTTTCCCTCTAGTAAAACCATTTCTAATCATTAAATCTAAGTCTAAAATAGGCCCCTGCTGTTTCATTCCCTGTTCTTTCCTTCAAAGTAAAATTATCATGATTTAACACTGTGTATTCATTTGTGTGGCTGCTTTTTAAAATTTTCCCGACTGGTGTATTAGTTCCATAAGGGCAGTCACATGTCTTTTACGTTCACTACTGTGTCTCTTGGCTGTGGTTCTAGTTCATTAAAGAGGAAGAGTAAATGCTTGTTGAATCAATGAATGAATGTATACCCCATGGAAAAGCATACAGCCTGAACAGTGATGTAGCCACAGAAATGAACAAAACTGAGTGAGGATAACGAGGAGACACGCTGAATGGAGCAAAGGGCCAATGTTAGATAAGTTCCTGAAGACTTTTATTCTAGCAAAGAGAACTGTGAGTCACAAATTCATATCTGAGTATCCTCCCCATGATGACATGGCTATTTTAAAGCTTTTGCTTTCACTTATAACTATATTTATTTATCTGTTAGTGAAAGAAGCTTCCCATATTATGTTTAATGATTTCTGGGTATTATTAGCCTTATCACTTTTTAATTTGATAAGTTATATTAAATGAACTATAATTATGTCTCATCATAGTATTAATCATACCAACTCATTTGTTAAGTGGTAGTTATGTGTCAGGTACTTCATGTGTATCATCTCATTTAATCTTTATAATAACCATATGAAGGAGGTGGTGGTATCTCATTTTACAGATCAGAACACTGAGAACCAGAAAAGTTAAGCACCCCAAGGTCATATAGCTAATATGCTAGACCTGGAATTCAAACCAGATGTGTCTGCTACTTTCTACTACCATTCTAGTACACATTTTAGTATACATTTAAAAAATGAAATCTCTTTGGTATAGCTATAGCATTTCTATTTTCTCTATTAGGCAATTAGGAAATATTTAACCGAAGATTTTAAATCTAAGAAAGTACCGCCCCCACCCCGAACAAATCAGAGAGAATATCTTCTTCAGTTGTTTTTCTGAGTGAAGCATTAAAAAATGATGAAATGGTTTTTGACATGCAGAAAGGCGTACAGACTAGTATAATAACACCTGTGTTCTCACCATTTATCTTGAAATAAAATCTTACCAGTACAGTTGAAAGTCTTCTGTGCATTCCTTCCCAGTCTCATCTTCCTCCCTCTCCTCAGCAATAAGCATTATTCACTATCCCAATTTTGGCATGTATCGTATCCCTGCAGTTTATGTATTTTGGCAATAATCTGGTGTCTGAGTGCTAAATGTGGTATGGTGGCAGTTAATGTCATTATTTTTCTGAAAAAACTTACTGGTTTCTTTGCCTTTTTGCCATTCTTTTCCAAATTCCCCCCCGATTTGTACTAGGAATGCTCTATGCCACCTTATGCTCTCCCATCATATCTTATAATGTGGGTGGGGGATAAAAATGTACTCAGTTTCATAGCCTACAGCTATGGGAAAAAGGATCTGTTCAACAGGTTGGCATTTCCCCCCATTCTGATCTGAAGTCAAACTGGTATGAAGAGGCTAACCATAAATGATCTTGAGGATCTCATGACTGAATCTGTTTCTAGGATGAGTGGGTTAGGTCAAAATCCTGTTCATCAGGTGGATGAGTGAGTGCCTTCTGTGTTTCTGTTTTCCTCAGATTTTAAAAGTTTAGTACTCTTCCTTTAAGATCTCCGAATAAACTCCTGGTGTTGTGAACGATTCCCAGCAGGGTTACAATATAGTTTGGTCACAAGAGGTCTTTTTGCCCAAATCTAAGGGAAAAGACTTCCTCAAGTTGGCAAAGAATTGAAATATGCTCCTCCCAAAAGAGAGAGAGACAAAAGCAAAACAAAATAAAGGCAATGATTTGCTGATTGAGATGCAGCTCCAAAAATGAAGTGTTGCTGATTCAGCATAATTGGTTTATGTGAGAAAAATAGAAACTGAGACTTTTAGGGAAAGATAGAAAAGAGGAAAATAGGTAGTAACAAAATGAGTAAGAGGCAAGAATTGTGGTTGTGATGCAGACTCGGGGTAACTATAGAATAGATGCTACTCTTGGGATTAAATGCCCAAGGACACAAAAATGGTTTAGAAAAGAATAGTAAATGACTAGAAAATATCAATAACTGGCTCTCTGGGACATGATGAGTACTCATTAATTAATTGATTCACTGATACAATCTCATCAGTTTATAGAAGTTTCCCAATAAAAGCATATATTTGCATATGGATAGTTTTTCATATATGAAGATACATTATAGCTTATCTGAGTGTGATTTCATTAGAAAATTTCTTTTTAAAGGTAATTCAGATGGTTATATTTTTGTCATCTTAAAAGTAGTTCTTTGCATTACACAAGAAGAATGCTTTGAAAAATATGTATATAAAAGACTCTTCTGCTAAAGTTCAAGTGACTGAAGGTTGTGCACAAATTCTTCATTTCTTTCATAAAACCAGTTTTGTTGCATTTTCCATAAAAAGTGCAACTACCAAACATTCTTTTGATAGCTTCTTTGTGAATGTGTCACTGTTCTTGTTTTGCACACGCCTTATAATTTAGGCCCTCTTTTGTTTTGGGTTGGCAGTTCCAACTGTTAAAGCTCTTGTCTGATTGTGTGGGACTCCTTATTTTAATGGGAGCAGCTTCTTTGCTGCATTTTTAAAAAATGGTCTCGGAAGCTTCTTACTGTGGATCTTTGTTGAGGACAAAGGATTATGTATGCTAAAGGAAAATGTATTCCCCACTGAATTAGCTCGTGGGAAGCATAACAAGCTCATTAGTAATGCTCAATTGTACTTTGGCCTTTTGCTATGGTAGAGAGAAGGAAAAATGACATCAAAAAGGACATTCTGCTGTCCTTTGCCTTCCCGCAAAGAAAACGTGATGTAATATTAGACTTTTCAGTTAGATTTAGCTCAAGTTCAACTTTGGTACCAGAGGAAATGTTCCTGAAAGGAAAGTGGTGTGTGTAGTTGATACTGTGCATGAGGTATGTTTGGTATAACTTAGAGGAGAAAGTAACTTTTCCTTGGAAATTGACAGCATTATAGACCATTTTTATTTTTTTCTTATAATGTTTTAATGGTGGTTTATAATAAAAAATAGACTAGTGTATTATGCTGCTATAAGCAATCAAAAATCCTAGGTTTTATATAGTCTCTATTATCCTGAGTGTTTTTAAACTCTTCACCTTTTTTCCCATCTAAAAATACATTAAATAATTGTATTAACCTAATTAATTAAAATTGTATTTTTTTCTATAGATTTCAAAAATAGTACTTTGGAGTTAAAATTGCTGTTTCTTTTTTTTTTTTGTCTTTAGTACCTTATGGAGAAAATAGCTTATGAAAATTATTATGGAAAGGCACTGAGTATTGTTTTATAGTTAAAGTTGATGTCTGTCTTTATTGTTGTCTGGCAGAAGAAGCTAATGGCTAAGCTTAGCTTAGTCCAGATGAACTTATATGATCTCTTCATAAAAATCAGATGAGAGATGCTTGACTTCAGTATCAGTTGTTGTGCTGTTGGTGTTTGCATTATTATGTTTACAGGGGAAATTTTGGGGAGACTTTTATATGTGCTAAGTTTAATTGTCAGTTTTATTTTTCTAGCCAGATGCTTCAAGAATTACCTTGATATTCGTGCCAGAAACTATGTATTAAATGTGTTTCAGGTTTTCCTCTTTCAAATGAGGAGTACTTTCATAAGTGAGAAGCTAAGAGTGATTATTGAATTCTCCTACAGTCACACTATTCCAAATAGAAGAAAAAGTTTTAGGTTTTCAGTCAAATAGGAGACTAAAGCAGATTCCTTGTAATTTGGGGGCTTGGGAAGTAGGAAAACTACCATTATTTGCATATTAATGTTTTGTTCTATTTTCAGAAAAGCAATTTCATTTCAATATAGATGACCATGCAACCTGCAATTCAAGTAAGTGTTTTTCTTGGAAAAATATGTATCTAAATTATGAGATAATAATTATGTGAGATTATATAAAATTATAATAATTAGTAGAATACTAAAATTATCCCCAAATGTTTTTACTGTACTAGTTCTTTTAAGCATTAAATTTTAATAACAGGAATTACTATATTTTAACTTTCTAGTCCTGAAAAGATTTTAATTTTAAGCTTTCATTTATACAAATTATTTATAAGAGTCAAAAATTCCTTAGAATTGGTGAGTCCATCTTACTTTTACTACCCTGGGAAGAGAATTGGAACATTTTATAGTTTTCCTCTCCTTACAATTTAGTATGTATTTGTAATTAAAAGAGCTCTCAATGAAAACAATTATAAATTATTTATTTTAGATAATTATGCCTGTGCCCAGTAATGCCTCTAAATGACCAGGCATCAAAACTTAAAATTTAAAGTGTTTTTGTTGTTGTTGTTGTTGTGGTTTGTTTGTTTTTTGGTGAGGGGAGGCAAGATGGAGATAATTAGACAAACCAGAATAATCTTACATTTGAATGATTTCCAGAATTGGTATTTACTATATTATTCTTATATTCTTTTAAAAGTTTTCTTTTGATATAACTAGAGTATGCTTGAATCTTAAAGATAAAAATCACATTGAAATTCTACCTATAAAGATACAAGCAGTTGATACTATAATTTGCCTTGCAAAGTGAGACCTTTAGAATCAATCATTTCTGGTTCTGGTTCTGCCACTCTGATTGTGAGATTCTGGCAATTTATTTTACCTCTGCTTCCTCACCTCCAAGGTGAGGTCATTGTTGAGGAAATCAGTGGAATCAATGAGAGAACATGAGCAAAGTGCCTACTAGAATGTATGTTGCATAGTAGACACTTCAGAAGTTTGGTTGTATCATTGGTATAACAAAACTCTCCACATTATAAAACTGGAGATTATACCTGTGTCGTGAAAGTCTTCCTTCCTTCCTTCCTTTGTTTCTTTCGAAAGAAGGCTTATCAAGGTGACAGTGGGTGAAGACTAAAGATAATTTATTTATCAAATGTTAACAACAGTTCTGAATATGATCCTGCTTATACTCCCTCCTATGTGTACTCTGCAGCTATATCCTCTACTCTATTAATAAAGAGTTCTATTATACTCTTTTCCTTTTGGGACTTGGGAGCCCATGGCAGTCTCCCAAAATGTCTTATTCTTGCTCTTTGGGTCCTCTCGAATCCACATTGAGTATGCTCAAAACTCCTTTATTACTCAAAACCATTTCTTATCTGATTATTTCTATTTATCCTCTTTTTATCTAAGTCTCAGAAATGTCATCAGTTTCATGTTAATTATATTTTTTTGATTCTTTATAGGGTGCCTTTTATAATTGCTGCATTGACCATTCTACCCTAATGCCATTAATATTTTAACTTGGTGTCTTTCTTCATAGTTTTGTTTTATAGTTCCATGAAACCTTCTCTGATCTAGAGTGTACAGATCCATCTTTTTTAATTCTTCTCCAAGAGTACTCTTGACATCGGATCATGGACATTTTTGCTTCTCTCCCTGATGAGTGTGAAAACTTTGTAGGATTTTTACCTCTTTCTCTGCTAATTATATTAGACAGTTATGTAGTTATTCATAAGTGCCTTGTAGAGAGGAGACATCCAATAGATAGCTTATCAATTGATATCCTAATTTATTACATTAAGATCTTCCTTGCCCCTCTTTTTTTTGTATCTTTCATTCTGATTAGTAAATAAACATACAGTCTAAAAATCAATGAACAATAGTTCCTGATCTCTTTTGGGTCATACATAGTCCCCTTTGAGAATCTGACAAAAAGCTATGAACTAAGAAAAGGCCCATTTGTATATAGGCATAAAATTTTGCCTAATTGTAAGTTAAGTTTATGTACATACTCAAGTTCATCTATAGACTGCCTGTGGATTAAGAATCTTTGCAAATGACAGCTTTCACATGTTTGAGAACAACCTTTATACATGCAGTTTTTGCTATTAACATCTAACTTTTAACAACATTAATATGCTATTGACTAGCCCAGGGTATTATACCCCAGGTTTTGTTGGCAAGAGTAGGAGAATCCAAGTACTCTTTTCCCTAATGTGACAAGAAATTAGAATGGCTTCTGTTAATGTTAGCTTCTCCATTTTCACACATGATTTTTTCCAAAACCACCCTTCTATCACCTCTTTCCCTGACAAACATTTGCAACTGCTGTGCCTTTTTTCAACTCAGCCAAATGGTTAAAAGACAAGTAACATTCTATTGGCTATAAAATACCTTCGACTGTAAGATGCATCTTGATTTTGATGGTGCAAAGGTCATTTGCTAATGTCCTCAATTATTCAACAAATATTTAACTGACTACCATGTGCTATGTCTTATACTGAGTTCTGGGGTTACAAACAGAAATAAGACATGCTTATGAAAGCAAGATTTAGATAGTAAATCTTTGCTATACTCCCTTTGAAATAATTTTAAGAGAATTCAGAGAAATAAGTAAAAAAGACATCTTGTCTTTTTCCTAAAACTTTATAAGATCTTTATATATTTAGGAGTTCATTCCCTAATCTCTACCCTTAGTTCCTGAAATAATGGCCCTCAAATAAGTTATTTATTTATTTTTTAAACTTTGGATATTTTTATTGAGTTTCACTACTCCTGCTTGCCTCTCGTGGTATGTATTCATGTTCGTTCTTTGCCTTTGGGATTTTTTTAATCTGTTTGTTTCTCATCATAGAAACTTGGAAGCAGCTCTTTCTTTCTTTCTTTTTTTTTTCCTCCAAAGTTTGTCTGGATAAACAATGGTGTTATGGATTTTGATTTCAGGTAGTAAGACTTGCCTTAAACACACCTCAATAAGTTTAATATATTTTAGAGGGAAAATGATCTACATTTAAAAATCAAGAAGGGAATAGATTCAGTTGGTATTACCTATACTCATACCTCTTTTTTTAAAAAAAATTAAAAAACCTTTATTTTAAAGTAATCACAAACCTGCAAAGTAGCTGTTAAGTGTAGAACAGAGATATTTGTTTGCTGAACCATTTGAGAATAAGTTGCCAGTCTAATGCTGCATTACCTCTGAATACTTTAGTATGTATTTCTCACAAATAAGGACATCGTCCTGCACAACTGCAATGAAATAATTAGAACCAGGATATTAACATGGGTACAGTACTGCCACCTAATACTCAGAGCACATTCAAGTATTTTCAGTTGTTCCCATAATATCCAGTTCAGAATTACATGCCACATTTAGTTGTCATGTCCCTTCATCTGTCTAGAACAGTATCTTTGCTTTCTTTAATGACCTTGACATTTTTGAATTTTATAGACCAGTTATTTTGTAAGATGTCCCTCAGTTTGGATTTGCCTGTTGTAGTCCCATGATTAGATTCAGTTTATGCATCTTTGGCAGGAATATCACAGAGGGATACTGTGTTTTCTCATTGCATCCTTTCAGGTGGAATATGATTTTGATTTGTCCCATTATTGATGGTGTTTACGTCTGTCACTTGGTTAAGTTGCTGTCTGTCAGATTTCTCTACTGTAAAATTACTCTTTCTTCTCTTTGTAATAAGTATTTTGTGGGGGAGTACTTTGAAACTATATAAAAATCTCATTCCTCATCAAAATCCCAGTTTATTCATATATTTATATCTATATGAACTAATAGTTTTCTATTTTATTCAGTGTGTTATAATCCATTTATATTATTGTTTGATCCTCAAGTTGCTCTTGATTTAGCCAGTAGAAGTCCCTTCATGCTGACTTCTATGTCCTTTTGGTTTGTCCCTATCATTCTTTGAGCCCTTCTTTGCTTTCTGGTAAAAGATATTCCAATCACCATAGGATTCATTCTAGTTTTCTCTCACTCCATAGAAGAGTTGTACCTCTCTTCTTTGGCAGTGAGAAACCTGGCTTCCATTTGATAAATTCGTGTGAATATAACAATCTCCCATTGTTGCTGCCATTCCCTCCCTGAGTTGATGGCTTTCTCAGCTCACTTGGGCTCTGACACGCTGCACTGGGATGTTCCCCCATCTTCCCCTGGGGACACCCTCCTCATCCTACTCAGGGTCTGATACTGTCCCCATGTGTGGACACTCTCTCATCTCACTCAAGCTCTGACCCTTCATTTCAAGCTTCCCTCCAGTGAGAATCCTTCGTCACTTCCCTTGAGCTCAAATACCCCTTCCTGAATTGAGAAATGAAAGTCTTCTCTCTAAATAATCTTATATTAAAACATATCTAATTGTATTTCAAAATTTTGCAAGTGTTGGTTTGATAGTATGTTTATGTCAGTTTTTATTCTTAACCAGGGATTGGCCAGGTAGTAAATATTCTTGGCTTTGTGAGTCAGTAGGCAAAATTGAGGCTATTCTGTAGGCACTTATATAACAACCATTTTAAAATGTAAAAACCATTCTTAGATTGTGGGTCATGAAAGACTCAGGTGACATACCAGATTATTTAGAATTTTTTTTAAGATGACACTGTTATTATGATCAGAAGTTATAAAATGCCATTTATGCATTTATTCATTCATTTATCCATTATACCACAAATGTTGCTAGGCCCAGTGCTAGATGCTACAAAGATGTATCTTGTAAGGCAGGTTACACTGGCTGATTTTATAGCTGAGAGGCTGAAGCTGTGGTTCAAGTAACTTATTAAACTTAAACTAGTTAGCTAGCCAGTGAAGGAAAAATATTATTTGTTGACTTTTATCTTGTAGTTTGATAGTAGTAGAATCCATTCATTGATTTACCACAGTATTGAATACTGAAAATGTGTCGAGTTTCTAGATTAATAGTTTGCTTCTAGTTTATGAACTTTCAGTGAACTGCTATGGTTTTACACATATGTATATTATATATGGTCTATAATTCATCATTTGAGTATAAGTGTGGGCTATACTAACTTTTAAAAAGGCTGCATCCATTTGGTTGGTGTTTTCTCTAGGTGTGGTTTGGAGAAGACCTGCCTCTAAGTCCACGGAGTCCTCTGACCCCCAGACACGGGCCAGGTTTGGCTGATGTTTGTCAGTATGATGAGTGGATAGCTGTGAGGCATAAAGCCAACCTGTTGCCCATGCAAGAAGATCTGTCAATCTGGCTATCTGGTTTATTAGGTAAGGCTTGAAAAGATACTCAAAATTGTAGTTTTTTACTTACTAAATATTTATTGAGAATCTTACTCTTTGTCAAGGAGTGATCGTTCCAGAGGCTGGGAATACTCTAGTGAATGGAATATTTGATATCCTTGTTCTCACAAGCTTACATTCTAGTTGGGGAGTTGTTCCAATTCACCCCGAACCTTAGGGCTTGGATAGTAAGGCAGTTTGAGGCTTAACAGAAGCGGTCTGTAGTAATCTTTGAATAATCAACATTATCATTGTTAATGTTAAAACCTTTTTTTTTAAGTGTGTAGATCTGATTTGGGATCTCTATTACCAATGCACCACCCCCGTCTCATATAAGGCATGAGATTCTGAGGGGAATATATATTGTAGTTAAAATGATTGCTACTTCTGAGCCATTGAGGGGCAGAGGCATGTGAAACCTAGGAGGAAGTATCAGCTTGGAAAATATCTGGCTTCATATTTTCTTTACTCAGTTAGAGACTAGGAGTGCTCTGAACTTTCTCCACAGAAAAACGCTCTCTTTTAAATACAGAATTTCATCTATGGCCTTTCCAAGATAATTAAAAACACTGCACACTCTAATGTTCTCATATCAGTTTGATGATTTGGATAATTTTTAAAAAGCTTATTATGTAATAATAATGATTCTAAAGAAAGGATTTTAGAGGCAAAAAGTCGGTATTCTCTGGGTGTTTGTTAGCTATTATCTTTAATTTTAAAATCATAACAAAATCCATCTTATTTATGGAGAATCTTTTTCTTGTGCAAGCAGTAGTAATGTGCAGTGAATCAAAACTTTAGCAGTTAATAGTGAAATATAAAACATTCTCGTTTTTAGGAAATGAAATAAAATGTCATTTTATTTTTTCTTCTACATCACAGATATTTTTGTTTTGGTTGTCTTAATTTTGCATTATCTGTTTTAACTATAGCTTCTAAGAGTGAATACTTGGAGTCTGATCTAATATTTGTCTCATGTTTCAGCTATAATCTAATTACGTTTAATTAAATTTTAACCATATTGTTTGAATTTACTGTTTCTAGTAGAATCTTAACTTTGAAATATGTTTTTAGGTACTGAAGTTAAGGCAGAAAGATTATTGGAAGAACTTGATAATGGAGTACTATTATGCCAACTGATTGATGTTCTTCAAAACATGGTAAAAGCTTGTGACTCTGAAGAACCCAGGGTAAGAACATGTTTGACAGTAGGTGATTTTATTTGTTTATTTATTTATTTGAGAGAGCGAGCAGGGGGAGGGGCAGAAGGAGAGAGAGAGAGAGAATCTGAAGCAGACTCAACACTGAGTGCAGAGCCCAACGTGGGGCTCCATCTCATGACCGCGAGATCATGACCTGAGCCGAAACCAAGAATTGGACACTTAACCGACTGAGCCACTCAGGCACCCTGACAGTAGGTGATTTTATACCTTGGTACATATTAATTTGTTTATGTACATTTCTATCTGAAAGGTTGCAAACTTCCACCTAACTATGTATAAGACCTTAGGTAATTTATCTAATCTTGCAAAATGGGAGAATTAACATTTATGTTGTCAGATTTATTTGCAAGGATTTAATGAAATTAAATGAAGAAATGTATAGATGGTATTTAGGTTTGTGCCTAGTTTAAGTAAATATCCAGTAAGTAGTTATCTCTCCTTGAGAACAATACTCTTACTTGTGAGAGTTAAATGAGAAATGAGCTTGTGATGGTTCCTGGCACACAGTTATTATTTTTACTGCTATTATTACTACCATCATCATCACCATCTTTATATTCCCCATATTTTGTCTTGGTGGTAAATTCTATAATTTGATTGAATGAATAATAATTTTTTTAGGCAGTTTTCCTCCGGTGACCCTGAAATCATGATTTGAACTAGATAAGGTTTCCTCTCTTCATCAAACACGGGTCACCTATGAGATCTGGGGTCTCTTAGTGTGGCATCTGGATACTCACCTAGTGTTGGTAGAAATATAAATTGCTATCATCTTTCTGGGAGTCAGCGGGTGATATATATATATTATATATATTATATATATATATATATATATAATATATATATAATATATATAATATATATATAGAAAGTAAAGCACATCTTTTGATACATAACATAATTCCCCCAGGGATTTATTCTAAGAAAATAACTACAAATTCACAAATTAATTTTCAAAGAACTTGATTGTGCATAAAAAGTTAAGAACAATTTAAATGCTCATCAATAAAGAAGTTGTTAAAAATTAATTATGGTACCTAAACTGAGTGGAATGCATTATCCATTCATTAGAAATGACTCTTAATAATCTGTTATTTTTTTATTATTTATTATTATTATTTTAATAATCTGTTATTTTTCACCTCAAAAGATGCCTACAGCCTGTTGTTAAGTGTGTCTGCACACATACACACACAGATCAGATAGTGGACTAGCATGTTTGTGTAGCATTCTGTAGGTGCTATCCTTGTGCATAGAGATGCTTACTAACGTGAGTGAGAAAATTTCACTTGACAATTAGAAAAACTCACAAGGCCATTTTAATTCTGGAAAATACAACAACAGGAAAGGTATAGAAGGAACTGGTAATAGTGGTTATCTCTAGGAAGAGAGAGGAACTGAGTGGTAGAGGTAGGAGACAGACTTATACCCTATTGTGCCTATTGCATTTTAAAAAATCTTAGCATAAATTGCTTTTTCAAGTAAAAATTTAAAAGAGAACTAAAACCCCTCTGCCTCAGCAGGATTATTTAACTATTCTTAGTCCAGATAGTTAAAAAATTAGGATTCTATAAAACTTAGACTGTTAATTTTGAAAGAACTTGAATTAAGAATGGGCTACTACTTCCTTATTTGACAGTCTCCTCAGAACCATATTTATGAATGCAAATAAGGAAGTAAGCAAAAATGAGTGTGTCCATTAACCTTTAACATAGCAATAGTTTTATGTTTGTATTGAACTGTGTATGGAGAGACATTTAGAGATACGCTTTGGAATTATTAGACTGTCATTTTTTGTTTTAATTAAGACCCCAGTGTCATTTTAAGAAGAAAGAGGTTAGAGATGCTTGACATACTGCTACTTTGAATAGATTGATTTCCTAGGAGTCATTTTCTGGAATATACTTAAAGTAAAATACAGTAATTTTTGAAGATACTTTTTCCTCCTAATGTTAACTTTTTAGTCATATTTATTTAGTGATATTAAAATGGATATCTAATGAAATTATCCTTCATATGAGTTTTTGAAATTATTCTTTCATCTTTTCCAGAATTTTCCAATGAGAAAAGTGCCCTGTAAGAAGGACGCTGCCTCAGGTTCATTCTTTGCTAGAGACAATACTGCAAACTTCCTTCACTGGTGCAGGCACATTGGGGTTGATGAGACTTACCTCTTTGAATCTGAAGGTTTAGGTAAGTGTTGTTATCACTGTGTTTAATGTTTATTAGGGTATTTTTGTATGTCTCACATGTAATTTTTTTTCCAAATAAGGACTCAAATGCTGTATCTCATTTTCCTAGAAAAATTTATACTTTAAATATATGTAAAACAATTGGAGAATCAGATTCTAAACCATATA